AATTGTCGATGAATTGTTTATAAAACCGCTCACACGTAAAATAAAAAGATATATACTAGTTCCAAACTGAAATTCCCATCAAACATAAATAATCAAATTTTATATATTCCATCACCAAAGATAGATAGTGGATATATGCGTACAATTTTTAGCCAGAAGAGAAGCATCGACGTTTAGCATATGCCCAACAAAGATATAGCTCTTTAAGGCAAATGCATAACTAATGGATAGGAGTAAAAATCACCAGATGGTGGAGTAGTCGGATGGAAAGATGATGATGGTTTGTTGGCCATAGGTAAAATAATTTGAAGAATAATAAAGTAGAGAAAGTTACTGCAGCATACTGTACAAAGTGAAGAACAAAATTAGAAAATAAAATAGAAGACCGTTGGACCAACAAGCCGATCCGGTTCTATGGCTTCTTTGTAAGAACGGCAAAAAGAGCTCGGCCAACATAGATCGCTTGAGCATAACTGCACAATAGCCGGACCACCAATGTTAGCGGTTTTCCTGGTTCGGTTCACTGATCCGATCCGGTCTGTTATAACAATAGAGATAACAGTCAATCAATGGTAAAATGCCGATACACATACTTTTTTTTTTAGAATACTGATATGTACTACAGTAAATTGAGTAAAATATAAAGTTAATAAACTTACATTAATCTTGATTATTTAAACACATTAAAATCCATTTATATCATTGATTGATAAAAAAGTGGCATCGAAGTTCCAACGTAGAAGGGTTTTACTCATTGACCATTTATAACCATTAGGAAAAATCACATTCATTACGTAAAAAAATGGACCGACGGATTAATAAGTGTCAAGTAAGAATTTCGTAATACTTTATGGAAAACAAAACTAATTATTCAAAGTGAAGGGCCATTCATTACGTAAAATTGGCCACGCCACTTGACAGTTAATGCATAAAATACACATTCATTTAGTAAATGTAACATAATTATAGTTATTTTGTACGTAACAGTCAGACCAGAAGCACCATGTACGAAATCTACACCAACTTAAAATTTTAAGTAACGGAAAGTTAGCATTCATTACATAAAGAATCATTCATTACATAGGACTTATGTAACGACCTTCCATAATTGTTACTTAAGGTAAACATACATCACCTAACCCTTATGTAATGCCTCTTACGTACAATCAAATAATATGTACACCAAGTTAAACAAGTAGACTATCAAGGAAGACAAACAAAAGCACTCATAATGCATGGAAAGATAAGAAAATTCAGATCCCCACTCATCTACCCACATCACAATACACGTAAGAAAGAAAGTACATCTGCTATAATAGTTGCTTCCAATAATAGAGTGCAATGACACTGAAGAAACAAATAAGAAAATTCAGGTCTCCACTTATCTTCTCACAATGCCATGTACCGGAAAAAAGAAAGCACAATGGTAGTGTAACAGTTACCCTCAATAATAGAGTGCAATTACACCGAACAATCAAATAAACTGTAGAGCACGACTCAATACATGCAGTAACCCACAGAGTATGCTAAATAATAGCGCATTATTGAATGAATATTGGAAAACAAACAAACAAGAACGATATAACATTTATTACACGGACAAATCTATCAATTATACAACAGTGTATAACGGATCTGACCAATAACAATTTGTCAAAAGTGGCCTTGTGCATTTTCCCTCTGTTCACCTACATAGACACATGCTATTCAATGGGACCAATGTATGTGGTGGATAAATGATCCACCATTATTATTGTTATTGATACATATTCAATGGATTGTTTTTGGTCTTAGGTGTTTACCGTGGGGGGCCTGAACAAACCAATTTTGGCATGGCTTACAAATTGTTCCGCACAATCTATCGGATAAGTTGATGGCGATTCATATAACCAGAAAGATAGTTTTCTCTACACAAAGGATTGTGTATGATGCATTTAGAAACACCGGTCCTTTTTTTATTGAAACCTATGTTCACCTCCAACACTTATCAGTGACATATAATTTGAGATTTAGGAGTTTGCTTTTACAACCCTTGTATAAAATATTGGTCATTGGAAAGAAATAGATAGCAACTTAAAGGTACAATGTTTCTTGCTACAACTAATACTAAGTCCGGACTCAGAATCTTGTCCGTTAAAAGGCTTTGATAAAGAATAGTATGTGTGGTCTGTATAGATTATTTACTCAGGGATCAAATAATTACTGCTAATATAACATACTGAGATACTAAGTAATTTCTGATTTTATCTTATGATTAGGCTTTGTTTGATTTAAAATGTATTTTAAAAATAATACATATTATCAAAACAAATTTGGAAATTTGCTTCTAGGGTTCGTTTGGAGACAAGATTTGTGAGTACAGGTTAATTAAATCGATAGAGATATCATAAGTTATTTTTTCCTAATGTAGAGTGGAATTTAGCTTCAGATATTTCGAAATCCAAAATTTAAAGACATAGATCTTTTATACGTAGAGAGATTCTATAAATTGGTTTTGCGAGATTTTTGTTCCTCATACTTTATATCTTTTTATATTTGTCCCACCGAATATCATTACTAATTAGTTCTCAATTTTTTTAATCACTGTAAATTTTGTTGGTTAAGACTACATCATATGCAAAAAAATAGAATTTGTTTTTCTATATGTTAACAATCACGATTAACAAACAGTGAAAATTTTAAAAGGTATTTTTTATAATTCGAAGATGCAGACCCTTTCGATTGTTTACAATCCAATAAAATATAATCCAATTATCCAAGCGAGTCCTTATTTTTATTATAAATAGAGTTCAAGTTATCAAAATAAATCCAAAAAAATAACACTTGAATTTGGCAATCAAAATTAGAAAAATTTACAGAATACTAACATCAAGCTCAATTCATAGTGAAGATAATCGTGCGCACATCAACACATTACTTTTGAAGACACATGAATGATTTCCAACAACTATTAACATTCTGATTAAATAACTAACCATAGTCGTCACATACATAATGGAGAAACAAAGCAAAAAAAGTAAAAAGTCCATTCCCAACAAAACAATTCAAACAAGCAGATCATCGTTCACTGACAATAATATTAAAAAACTACCCCAAGATAAATTAAACAACAGAAACGCGTACTACAAAATCCCATCCAACCGTCCTCTTGTTCTGAGATCTTTTGATTGCAAAAATCGCATTCTCCATCTGAAAAATAAAAATACGAGATCAATAAATTGTCTATACTCTAAAAAGTGTTAAAAAAATTATATAACGAAAATTTCTACCTCAAGTACACTTCCCAACTTGTTGCGAAGAATGCAATATTCTAGAGTGACATCATTAGCAACACGTATACTCCTGTAGAAAAAATACAAGATGCAGTAAGGAATGAACTATGCAACCCACAATCCCAGAAAATTGATATGATATTTAAGTTATACTGTGGGCTAACCTATCTCTGTTTCTGTCAATACATGCTTGAAGAAGTTCGTCAAACAAACTTCAGTCGACGTGCCCCAATGCTATAAATACAAAACAATACAAATTAAACTTTACAGCACACACCAAAACACCTATGAAAAACAATGAACATAAGAAAAAGTTCAAGATCCCGACATGGAGCTACTGCCTCTAATTTGATGCAAGGATTCTTCAATTTGAGAAAAATACACGTCAATAGCACCTCTGCAAAACACATGGACAAAAAAAAAAGCCAGCGTATTGAATTTCGGAGACCAAAATGACATAGATAAATAGGCGGGATTACAATACTGGGAATGGAAAACAAGAAAATATCATACAAATCCCTGTTGATTTCCCTGACGATCCTATCACTATCGCGACAGAAAGAACTGATAACTTCAGTTACGAATTCAGGATTAGTAGCATCTTGGAGAGCCTGAACTTGGGAAAACTGATTGTCCAAAATGCCCTTCAACACAACAAGAACTTACAAAGATTGGAAAAACGAATAAATGATAGAACGAGAAACTAAACCAAACAAAGACGCGTACCTCATCTACCATAGATTGCACAAAGCCTTTTAGCTCTCTCATGCAAGAAAACAATGACATTTTGGTGTTTCAGAATCACATACGAAGTGTTTTTTTACTGCAAACAGACAGATGGGTTACTCTGAGATACAATTCAAGGTCTCGAGCAAAATGTACATTATTATATAGCAATACGTAGATGAAATTGGTCATCCAAATAAAGATGAACGATTTGACATATTCGATAAGATACTTTAATCAAATAATTATAGCCATTATTTTTTTAATCCTAGCCTATATAGTATTTCCCATGTCGATCATAGACTCACAGCGAACAGTAGCAGTACTTTTTACATGAGATGCCTGATAGCTTCCCGGCATACTTGTTTCTCTTTCTCCTTTACATCCTTTCCTTTGCTATTTCTTCTCTTTCTCCCCCCCCCCCACCCCAATAGATGCGATCCTTTTCCACTAACTTTACTAAATTTTACTAAATTATTTCATCATTACAAAAAAATAGCTACCACAATAAGTGCACCACATGCACCCTTGTCGACCACGCAAAACCGACAACCCATATAGATCTAAATCTACTTTTCGATCCATCAATATTCGTTATAATGTTAAAATGAAAATTCATTAATTAACAATATTATAACGCGTATAATATTTATATAACCACAAACCCAATAATTATCCAAGGTAAGTTGTAAAATATCAAAGTAAGTTCATGTTAACTTTTAACGTGACCATCCGCAATAAAACTCAACTACAACTCTAAAAAGAGGATCATCTCCTAATGCATATAACATTTGGTAAAAAAAATGCCATAAAACACAAGGTCACCAATTTAGACAGAAAACACACAACAACAACCGCTTACAATGTAACACATAACAAAAACACACAACCATAGAGAACGAGAAATTACATCAAGATAGTACCGTCTGACACGATTGATCATCTGATACCATGTCTAAGTCGACGATAAAGATATAAACAATGGATCCCATATACAGCATACACACACTTTAGGTGAAACTGATCTTGGTTGACGTTGAAGGAAAATCTCTATAGTGATAAGCTTCCCTTCAAGGCGTTTAAAATATTCAATCCGCTCTTCGAGACTGAGTAAACAAAACTCTTGAACCGGCATCCGAAACAACGCTGTAAGTGGAGAAGATTCAAAAGTAATTATGCAAGTTGCAGTGGCATCTCTACAATAAACGATACTCTTAAACCTGAAACAGTCAAAATTCCTATTAACAAATAACAAAAAAAAAGATACGTTGAAAATATTGTGCTTGTTCAGGATATTGTACCTCTGTGAACCATTGTAATCAAAACAGACCTCCTTATTAGGAGGAATACTAACGATTCGAACCAAGCACAAATAACTTTTCTGAAACACAAAAAATCAAAATACAACATCACACTAACCCATACAAAGTCAACGTAGGATCAGGAAGAAATCAACCATAACAAAATGAAGTCCCACATGGAATAATCCCAATCAGCAATAATTAAAATAAAAACCTGAAAATCACCACACTTGGTCTCGTACAACAAAGCCAACTTATCAAGAGTCAGCCGAGAAGGAAGTGGACCACAAAGGAACCTAAGAGGATGGTACGGTGATTCCTCAATTTTTCTAATCGACAAATGTTCGTCGAAAAACCTGCTCCGAATATAAAATTCATCATAAAATATAGCACTAATCGACCGTTACAAATATTAAATACACCACCTACTGATCATATAGTATCCTATATCGATGAGTGTAATCACCATAGATAATACGACCGCCTGGAGTGCTTGTTAGAACAAGAGAGTCTGAAATCAAATTAACAATAGTATCAAAGTACATCATATCACAAATGCGAGCTAACAACATACATTAAAACCAAATGAGTCCTCCAAACAAACAAAATAAACAGTGAAGTACTCTTTTATCACAAGATGCACAATAATTCATCTAAAAATAATATAAAAAATTATGTTGCAAAAAATACAATAGTATGTACAAAACAACTAAAATAACTAAAAACAAAATACAATATATGCAATAAAATAACCATATGTCCTAAGACGTACCCAGGTCATCTGATTCAGTGGACTTCGCAACCAGAATGCAAAAAGTCAGCACAATTGGAGATAATAATTCGCCTATGCGAGCAAGTTCTCCAATATAATGATCATGTGTATCAACGTACTTAATGGTTACAACCCTATTCCTGCACATCAATTGGAATTTTTTTAAAAACATCAAACGACGGACACAATCAACCACCGGAAGTTACGAACAATGACCTTGAATTCTCGAGACCAATATGAAAAGACATATATCTATTTGAGATATTGTGTTTTTCCGACAAAGCAAGAACACGCCCACTGGCATCTGCAAAAAGACATGCGTTAGCTTCTAGTTCAATAAATTAAAACTTAACAGACGAAAAACACCTGCCAAGTTTTGTGAATCGTAACACATTTGCACCAGATCCTCAAATTGTGTGTCCCTAAAACCATCAAGGGGAAATAAAGCCAACTTCGGCGGATTGTTATCAGGAATTTCGATAAAAGACTGGGTTCTTGTCAAATGAAATCGCAAATCACACGGAGCATTTCGCAGTGGATTTCCGGTAGTCCTGGCCGGGATCAAGGGCACAAGTTTCATGTTGTATATCCCACCAACCCGAATAAGGGCACCAACAACACCACTATCCCCAGGGACGGTAAAACCTTCAATGGTGTCCTCCTGCATCCGGAAACTCATACAAATCATCCCAACAACAAGCAACATGATCATGTAAATAAAGCACAACAGAAACACAACCTCTCTGTCAACCCAAAGCGTATACACAACAAGAGGACTTGTCATACAAACACACTCTTTTGCCGTCCACATATGAATAAGTCTAGCAACAATATGGATATCCACAATTGATCCATCCAGTTGACGAACGACCAACGAAGTCATGACAGGATCTACAAAAATACAACATCCATTATATTGTGGTTGAACAAAACAGCAACATGCGCCACAATCAAAGGTAGTATAATAAGAAATTTACTTTGCATCGAAGTTGGCAAAAGATAATCCATCGACATGGCAATAAACAATATACCAGGATACAAAGTCACAAATCAACGTACGTTTAAAGAGAAAGGAGATGTGGTATGGCAAGAAAGGATGACAACTAAAAAGGGAGGACAGTGGTGGTATGAGTTGCCTAGAGAAGCTGAGAAAGAAAAAGGCAGCAGAGGGTTTGTTTGGGTAGAAAAAGGCAAAAGCATTTGGGGAAAATATGACGTATTAGGGTGGGGTCATAAATAGAATAGTATATTTACTGTTGAAGTCATAATATATTTGATTGATATGGAGAATAATTAAAGAGTATCCATAATTATTAAATAAATAATTAATAATTATGATTTTGCATATTATATCTTACGATTTGGTCGTTAATTTTTTTTATATATAATTTAACTTAGCATTTGATTTTTAACGATACGAAAGGGTTGAACCACATATAAATCATATTTTCATCATAAAATATCAAGTCTTGACTTTACTTGTACACCTTTCAATATAATTTTACAATCTTTGATTTTTTATGCTCATCGCAATTACAACTTGATTTCCTATGTTCAAAATTCCATTGAACTTCATGAGCAAGGATTACTTGACAGCCAAATCCTCAACTGCTAATATTTGATTTACATCTTGCAACGGATTGATTTAATTTAGTGATCTCCAACTCAATTGATTATTCTTACACCGCTTATCATATCAATTAGACGTATCATATCTAAAAGCAAAGAAATTATATGGCAAAACTATCCAGTTGTTTATAACAACCTTACAATTCATATAGCTAACCCGAGAAATGCGCGAAGAACCGACCATAAAGGGAAGTGAACGTCCACTCCAAACCCTTACACGCGTATATTAAAAACATAACACCATTCACGCAAAATCGAGGTATTGAAGTAAAATATCGTAAAACGTACAATTAAACATACAAAAAACAAATGTACAAATACTTCCATGCATAAATTATCATTGAGAACTATTTGCTTTATAATAACAACAATATTTAAAAAACGTAAAACACACTGTATATAAATAGTAAGTTGGATTTATCATCGTCCATAATAAATGAGTTTCAAGTTTGAAAATAAAGCCTATTTTGTCTTAGTATAAGCAGTACTGCAACCGACAACGTAATAATTGAACACCGACGTTAACTTCCCGAAATAGTCAAATTTATTTCCTATCTCTTCTCGTTCGGCTCTGTCCATTTCTCTTCACCATTTAATGGACCAACATTTGCCTTCAACTTGATGTGCACTTGTACCCAAAGATGAAGTTTGAAAATTCAAGCAGGAAGAATATGTGATGCACAGTTACACATTTTAATGGGTCCTTCTGATAAAGACCTTTTGAACATTTTGATTTGTAGTCATTAATTACTCGGTAGTTGTTGCCTTGTCCGTCTACAGATTATAGACTGTTCATCCACTTGCAGCCATAGATATATAAGTGAAAAATACTAACAATCTGGTGGCATTTGTTTATTATAGTAACAAAAATTAACTACCACAATTTAGAGTTTAAGTTATGTCGATTTCTTCTACATAGTCGGTTATGCTTTCTTTTACTAACTATTATTTGACGGATGATAACTGTCATTCATTTCCTGTCTTGAAGTTACTGTAACCAAATCGGTACAGTGATCACTTTATTCTTTTTGGATTCCGTTCTAATTGTACAGTTCACGATATAATTTTGAAGAAAATAATTGTGTACATGATAGACCGTTAATTACACATGTTTTTACCCCTGTTCTTACACCGTTTGAGGTGTTGATTCTCGTGTTTTAGGCCGATTTCACGCTAGGTTGTGCTTGTTTGTGATATTTCAGGTCCTAGTACGTGAATGGAGGCTTGAGAGCGAGTTTGGGGTCGATTGTACGAAGATCGGACGCGTGGCGAGGTGCTAAGGAAGCCGCACGGGCATTCCTGGACATCACACGGCCGTGCAACTCACATTTGTGGCCGTGTGATTCTCGCCGAGGGCAAACACGGGCAGGATGGAAATCCCACACGGCCGTGCGACCCTGGCCGTGTGGGAAGCCTGAATTTCGACTTAATGATACGCCGCGTTTTGACTCACACGGGCAACTGGGTGAGCCACACGGCCGTGTGGCCTGCCCGTGTGAGTCGGGAAATCTTGGTTTTTCAGCCAATTTCGAGCCACAAGTGAGAAGATCGGACTTTTGGAGCAAAAACAGAGCCCTAGAGAGAGAAAGTACGAAGAACACATCCTAGAAGCTATCTTGGAGCTGGGTTTCATCAAATCAAGCTTGGAGATTGTCATAGGAGTGGAAATCATCATCCCAGAGCTTTCCCATTGTAATGAGTATGACTGCTTTGTATCTTGTTTTCCTCTCTCTCTCTATGGAGTAGAACCCTTCTCTCACTTGGGTATGAAGAACCCTAGTTCTATGTGTTAGGGATTTTATTGTAATGACTTGGATGATATTACTGTTTGATTTTAATCGAATGATGCATGATTATTGAGTCAATTGAAGTCTGATCAACTTTTCCTGATTTCTGCTGCAATCTGAGATAGATAGAATCTGATTAGGTTGCTAGAGTCTCATCATTTGGTAGTAGGAGATTGGCTATACGAGAGTTAGCCAGTTTACTGCTTTGTATTGGAATCCAATTCCAGTAGTGGAGTTCTCTTCTTACTGCTTCAGATTTCTATCCCGGTGAAGACTAGTCGTCTGCCGGGTAGTTAGTCTGAGAGGGCTTGGTCAGCTTAAGAGATTCCAAGCTACTGTCGGATTTTCTGCAGTCTAATCAACAGTAAATCAACCCAGGGAAATTACAATTGAAACCTAACTAAGGATCTAGGGGGACTCATTCCCGAGTGACTCTTCTTTGCTTGAGAAAACCGTACCAATTCCTGCTTTCTTTCTGCTTTTGCTTTTACACAACAAACACTTAACTTAGTTGGCTAGATAATAGAGAATCACTGAGTAAGTAGTAGATCTAGACCCCGGGTTGATAGTATAACTTGTCACTTTAATGCATTCCCGGACTGCGATTATACTTGGTCGCAGTTTGGTGTTGTGTTTTAGAGCATCAAGTTTTTGGCGCCGTTGCCGGGGAACCTCTAGGTTATTGGGGAAACGTGAAAGTCTGTTACTTTAGCTTTTTTCTTTTCTTTTCCACCCTTGCTTTTCACTTGGGTGTTATGTTTTTGTTGGTGCAGCTCTGAAACATGGACCCTCATGGCTTCTCCAACCATTGGGGGTATCAACCACCATCCGTGTGGTATTACCCCGAGACTTCCTGGAGCAATCAAGGAGGAGAAGACTATGGGTTCGGATGTCAGTACCAACCCCCATTCTACGGAGAACAACCAAACCCTTGGGAACCTCAAGGACAATATCCTTTTCAAGAAGAGTTCCTGCCACAACCAGAGGGGCCATCTGAGTTGGAGTTAGCCATGGAGGCCTTCACGGGCCACTTTGCAGAGCCATGCTACACTTCACTGGAAGATCCGAACAAACAATTAAGGCTTCTCGTGGAGCAGTTTGCTGGAGACACTGAGAGAGCATGCTCCAAGATTGATCTTCAAATCCAAGCCCTTGCCTCTTCCGATCCCTCATTTCTCCATGATATGGAGGAGACTGTTCAGCGCTCAGCGAAGCAAACAGAGTGGGTGGAGCAAGTTTGCTCACATCTTGCTCAAGATCACCTTTCTGCTACCACGCTAGAAGAGGTGGAGGATGACAAAGGCTACGGGAGCGTTGAGGAGCATACAGAAGTTATCACAGAGATCTCCCATGATAATCATGATCAGGAAAGTCCTTTGGTTGAAGATCACACCTTTCCTCATTTATGCTCTAACATGCTCGGCCCGTGCGAGGAGATGCAAGATGATCCCATTGAAGAAATTGCTTGGCGACTTGCTCTCCAATCTGTTCTAGAAGAAGAAGAGCGAGCAAGGATGAGGAAGGAAGTTGTGGAGGATGAGGAAGAAAGAAAAGAAGAGGTGGTTCTTGATCTTTTCCCAGGGGAGAGACCACATTTTGAAGAAGGAAGGGGGGTTGAGGAAGCAATTGGCGTCCAGGCTGAGGATGAAGTTGAGGTGGAAGAGGCATGCACCGGCCATGAGTTACATGTGATATCTCCACCAAACTTCGAGGAGCTGCTTGGAAAGGACCCATTTGCAGTGTCTCTTGGCCAGACCAAGGCTACATCAACATCGATCCCTCTTGGTGGATGCGATGGTGGTCAATCGAATATATCTTATCTGGTTTGGGGCAATGAGACAAGAGCAGACGCGAAGGAGAGGTCTCGAGAGTGGAGACTTCATCTTCCTCAAGGCCACGAGCCATCTGCATCACCTATCACATCCCATGCTCGTGACTTGAGACTTCACCTCATTAATGAGAACCTCAACTTCAAGGAGGTTCTGGGATGGACCGAAACTTAGGAGCCACCGTCCGGCTCACGACGGTAAAGAAGCGCTTGTGAGGAGGCAACCCCACCAAGGTTTGTTTTTCTTTCTTTCGTTTGTTTTTTTTTTCCGGTTTGTCCACATGGAACTATGGTTTCTATCACCCAGTGTGTCTTGCTGATGCTTGCCCCGCTGACTGGTCCACTTCCAGTCCCCCGCAGCATTTCAATCCGGTAACATCGTTCCCCTTTTCTATCCCTCTGCTCCATTGAGGGCAATGTCGTGCTTAAGTGTGGGGGGGTGCTTTGTATTGGTTGGAATGTATATACGTGTGCTTGGAGCCTAGTCCACTGTCCAAATCTCGAGATTTGAGGGCTCCAAGTACGGCTGTTTGATCATATTGGCACTGTGTTTTGATTGGTGAATTGAATGGTTTTCGGATTAATGCATGACAACTGGATAGTGACTAGGACAACCTATAATGATGACTGAGACGTGCAGTAGAGTTGTGTAGAGTTTAGTTTTTCAACTGTTTGCTTACCAGCTGTGACTTGGATTGATTACTTGTTCTTGACACCCTTTTTGCATCTAGTTCAGGGAATCAGAATGAGAGATAGAGCATATAGGTAGCTATGTGAGATTTGAGCCTGCTCGTTTCTTTCTTGTGCGATAGTTCCCTCTTCCATGATGTGTAGCATTCACGTTGTCACTAGCTAAGATGATGGGGGCATAGGATTAGCCCACGACCAAATTTGACTGTCCTGATGTGTCATATCCCCTAGTCAGCCCCTTTGAGCAGTGTGTTATCCTTTCTTTTGGTCTATAATGTAAAATCACCCTTTTTGCATCTTTTAGAAGGTTCCACAGAGTGGTTTTTACATATTCTCTGCTGTTTCTGCTAAATTTGATGTGAGTGTTGGAGGTAGTGCTTAAAAGTTGGGCAGGTGTTTGAAATATGTGCAGAAGTGGTGGCTCTCTTAAGAAATGAAAAGAAAATGAAAGAAAAACAAATAAAAATTGGAAGCAAAAGAGAGCCACTACCAAAAATCTGAATAATGCCCATTAAGTAGTGTTTCTTAGCAGTCTGGCTTGGAAATGCTAACATTTATACCTCTTTCGCTTTTGTGCTCTTGAGATATTGAGTAATGCAGAATAGCAGAAAGGAAATACCGGTTTGTTTGACTATGATTGTGTGGGTTTAGAAATGTGGAACCTTGTGCTTTGAATACTTCCACCACCTAAAAGGCCTTTTCCCCGTGTCCAAGACCCTAGCCAGTCATTTGAACCTGTGTCTAAGACCTCCTGATTAGTTAGTGGTGACACCCCATATGTGAACTCTAGCATTTAGAGGTTGCCATCATGGTGAAGAGATGTTAGGGATTGAGAGAAATAGCATGCGCATTTTTCGCATCAAATTGTCCCGACCCCATTGGTCGAGAGTGAGTGATTCATTTTCATATTCTATATACTCTTGTACCTCGGTGAGGACCTAGATTGCTCGTCTCTATTCTGATGTCTTGAGTTGGATGTATGAGTTGACTGTTTTGAGTAAGTGGTTGAGTCAAGTCTAGGTTGGTTGGTGAACAGAAGGGAGACTCTTCCTTTACTCGATTTTGCTACACTCGAATGTCCTTTTGTGGTGGTTGCCCAGGTTGCTATTGAGGTTGTTCATGTATTGATGTTTGAAAACCAGTACGATTCACGTGTTCTGTGCCTTTATGACTTGTCCCCAATGTTGGTTGATTGAAATATGTGAGCTTACCTTGTATCTGACTTGGTTTGCTTGGGGACAAGCAAACGGTTAAGTGTTGGGGAGTTTGATAGACCGTTAATTACACATGTTTTTACCCCTGTTCTTACACCGTTTGAGGTGTTGATTCTCGTGTTTTAGGCCGATTTCACGCTAGGTTGTGCTTGTTTGTGATATTTCAGGTCCTAGTACGTGAATGGAGGCTTGGGAGCGAGTTTGGGGTCGATTGGACGAAGATCGGACGCGTGGCGAAATGCTAAGGAAGCCGCACGGGCATTCCTGGACATCACACAGCCGTGCAACTCACATTTGTGGCCGTTTGATTCTCGCCGAGAGCAAACACGGGTAGGATGGAAATCCCACACGGCCGTGCAACCCTGGCCGTGTGGGAAGCCTGAATTTTGACTTAATGATACGCCGCGTTTTGACTCACACGGGCAACTGGGTGAGCCACACGGCCGTGTGGCCTGCCCGTGTGAGTCGGGAAATCTTGGTTTTTCAGCCAATTTCGAGCCACAAGTGAGAAGATCGGACTTTTGGAGCAAAAACAGAGCCCTAGAGAGAGAAAGTACGAAGAACACATCCTAGAAGCTATCTTGGAGCTGGGTTTCATCAAATCAAGCTTGGAGATCGTCATAGGAGTGGAAATCATCATCCCAGAGCAGATTCATCCCATTGTAATGAGTATGACTGCTTTGTATCTTGTTTTCCTCTCTCTCTCTCTATGAGTAGAACCCTTCTCTCACTTGGGTATGAAGAACCCTAGTTCTATGTGTTAGGGATTTGATTGTAATGACTTGGATGATATTACTGTTTGATTTTAATCGAATGATGCATGTTTATTGAGTCAATTGAAGTCTGATCAACTTTTCCTGATTTCTGCTGCAATCTGAGATAGATAGAATTTGATTAGGTTGCTAGAGTCTCATCATTCGGTAGTAGAAGATTGGCTATACGAGAGTTAGCCAGTTTACTACTTTTTACTGGAATCCAATTCCAGTAGTGGTGTTCTGTTCTTACTGCTTCAGCTTTCTATCCCGGTGAAGACTAGTCGTCTGCCGGGTAGTTAGACTAAGAGGGCTTGGTCAGCTTAAGAGATTCCAAGCTACTGTCGGATCTTCCGCAGTCTAATCAACAGTAAATCAACCCAGGGAAATTACAATTGAAACCTAACTAAGGAGCTAGGGGGACTCATTCCCGAGTGACTCTTCTTTGCTTGAGAAAACAGTACCAATTCCTGCTTTCTTTCTGCTTTTGCTTTTACACAACAAACACTTAACTTAGTTGGCTAGATAATAGAGAATCACTGAGTAAGCAGTACATCTAGACCCCGGGTTGATAATATAACTTGTCACTTTACTGCATTCCCGGACTGCGATTATACTTGGTCGAAGTTTGGTGTTGTGTTTTAGAGCATCAGTACAGTAACCTTGTACATGGGCTAGATAAAAGAAATTACTAATACTAATTCATTTTGAATGCAAAAGTTATCTGTTGTAATTGCTAAGCGTTTTACTCTCAAGATCATGAGATCAAATTTATATAAATCTTAATACATACATTGCTAAACTGTCCTTGAGAACTATTTGCTTTATAATAACAACTGTATTTGAGAAACGTACAACACACTGTATATAAATAGTAAGTTGTACTTATCATCGTCCATAATAAATGAGTTTCAAGTTTGAAAATGATGCATTTTTTGTCTTATTATAAGCAGTACTACAACTGACAACATAATAATTGAACACCGACGTTAACTTCCCGAAATAGCCAAATTATTTCATATCTCTTCTCTTTCGGACCTGCCCATTTCTCTTCACTATTTAATGGGCCAACATTTGCCTTCAAGTTGATGTACGCCTGTACCAAAGGCCCTAGTTTGAAAATTCAAGCAGAAAGAATATGCGATATATGGTTTCACATTTTGATGGGTCCGACTGATCAAGACCTTTTGACCATTTTGATTTGTAGCCATTAATTACTGGTTAGTTGTTGCCATGTCCGTCTACAGATTAAAGACTGTCTATCCACTTGCAGCCATAGATATATAGGTGAAAAATACTAACATTCTGATGGCATTTGTTTCTTATAGTAACAAAAAAGTAACAACCATAGTTTAGAGTTTAGGTTACGTCGATTTCTTTTACACAGTCGCTTTTGCTTTCTTTTACTAACTATTATTTGACGGACGATACCTGCCATGCATCTTCTTGCCTTGAATTTATTGTAACCAAATCGGTACAATTATCAATTTATTCTTTTTGGATTTGAACCGATCTTTTTGTACAGTTCACGATATAATTTTGAAGAAAATAATTGTATACAGTGACCTTGTACATGGGCCAGATAAAAGGAATTACTAATGCTATTTCATTTTAGATACAAAAGTTATCTGTTGTAATTGCTAAGCGTTTCTCTCAAGATCATGAGATCAAAATTTATATAAATCTTATACACAAACATACATACATATATCATAACATTCACATATTTAAATGACTTATTTTGTTTTATTATGTACAAGTTTCCCATACAAATCCTTCATAAAATAATACACAAAGTTTAAAATAGATAATCGCTAATTCATCTTTTATTTCCCAACATCTACACATGCATGGAGAAAAGGTTGGACCAATAATGTTCCATACACAATTGGGGTTCTTATTTTATTTGTCTGTATGCATATCCCAATAAAAAAATTAGAATTCCAGTAAAAAATATAGTATTGTTAGATAGTTACATGCACACTATTGTTTCACCCCTTTTTGCTTGGTCTGAATTGGGACGAATGATGATTGTAACAGATATAGATGACTCATATTCTGTGTACATCAATAAAACACTAAAACTAAAAACATGCAATTTAGTGAAAATATGAAAAGCTAACAGTCACACAGTGCCATACATTATGTCCTCTATTTAAGACAATGACTAGACATATGAAGAACCATGATCGCAATGAAACAAAAAAGCAAAGAATGAACGAAAGCGGCTCTTCAGAGAGAAAGTGGGAGGACATGGATTCGGATATATTAGTGAAGACATTCAACACTCTCGACACAGTTTAGTTGACGTCAGGGATTGGTCAAGTTTGCAGTTCATGGCGCATGACATGTGCTAGTCCTCTTCTATGGAGAACACTGCCCGTATGTTGAAAACATAAACATAACACCATTCACGCAAAATCAAGGTATTGAAGTAAAATATCATAAAATATACAATTAAAACATACAAAAAAACAAATGTGCAAATTCTTCCATGCATAAACTGTCCTTGAGAACTATTTGCTTTATAATAACAACTGTATTTGAGAAACGTATAACACACTGTATATAAATAGTAAGTTGGACTTATCATCATCCATAATAAATGAGTTTCAAGTTTGAAAATGATGCATGTTTTGTCTTATTATAAGCAGTACTGCAACTGACAACATAATAATTGAACACCGACGTTAACTACCCGAAATAGCCAAATTATTTCATATCTCTTCTCTTTCGGACCTGTCAATTTCTCTTCACTATTTAATGGGCCAACATTTGCCTTCAAGTTGATGTATGCCTGTACCAAAGGACCTAGTTTGAAAATTCAAGCAGAAAGAATATGCATATATGGTTTCACATTTTGATGGGTCCGACTTATCAAGACCTCTTGACCATTTTGATTTGTAGCCATTAATTACTGGTTAGTTGTTGCCAAGTCCGTCTACAGATTAAAGACTGTCCATCCACTTGCAGCCATAGATATATATGTGAAAAATACTAACATTCTGATGGCATTTGTTTCTTATAGTAACAAAAAAGTAACAACCATAGTTTAGAGTTTTGGTTACGTCAATTTCTTTTACACAGTCGTTTCTGCTTTCTTTTACTAACTATTATTTGATGGACGATACCTGCCATGCATCTTCTTGCCTTGAATTTATTGTAACCAAATCGGTACAGTTATCACTTTATTCTTGTTGGATTTGAACCAATCTTTTTGTACAGTTCACGATATAATTTTGAAGAAAATAATTGTGTACAGTAACCTTGTACATGGGCCAGATAAAAGGAATTACTAATGCTAATTCATTTTAGATACAAAAGTTATCTGTTGTAATTGCTAAGCGTTTCTCTCAAGATCATGAGATCAAAATTTATATAAATCTTAATACATACATACATATATCATTACATTCACATATTTAAATGACTTATTTTGTTTTATTATGTACACGTTTCCCATACAAATCCTTCATAAAATA